GAGAAAAAGACAGGAGTATTTTTTGGGGTGGAAAGTAATACATACCCATCCTGGTGAAAGTTTAGGGTGAATTTCTTCAAACAAGAAATTAAATTTGCCAGTGTGGCTGAATTATGAATTCTATGAATCCCTAAAATCTGGAAATCTGTGTTACCCTAAATATATCCCTAGATTATATATCTAGAATAAGTTCTTGCATATTGTAAGAACTTTTTGCCCTTTGTTTTTTTACTTTTTCTTCTATCTAGCCATTAGAAAGGATTACTTCTTTACCATTTCTATTTATTTTAGGCTTGACAAAATTATAATTCTGGATCCATGCTTTCTTTCCTCTAGTCATTGACGCTGTAAGTTAATGTTGCAACTAAGGAAGTACAGGACTGTGCAGAAATAATTTTTGTATTAACAATTACATCTGATCAGTGATCTCAATCATTGTAACAGCAGCAAATAAAAGTGACTGTAAATATAATACACAAGATGACTACACAACTTTTAAAACTTTTTAATTGTTAACATGATCCATCAGAAAATGGAGGATTGTGCTAGTCTTACACTTTGGAAAATGGATGCATTAAGTATGAGTAACCTACCCAAGGCCACAGAGGCAAACATTATCAGCCAAGATAAAAACTCTGAAGTTCAGGCATCAAGCCCTCTGTGCAGACTATAGCAGTGTCTGTGTAGACTATACACTATAATAGAGCGATAAATCTCATCCAATATTTGAAAGCCTATGCCAGTAAGGAAGTTCTCCACAGAATTAAAGAATTTATCATAGTCAATCTGTCATTTCAGCTGAGATTCTTCTCTCTTTGGTCCATTGCTGAGCAACATAAACACTTCCAGTGAAGTCCTTAGTGTGATAAACCATGTGGTGCACGTGTGTACACACATTTGAAAAGGACAAAGCAATTCTTATTTCATTCAGTTAATAGAATGGAAAAGTTTAAACGCTCCACTGTTTCTTCTTCCAAAGTGGACCTACCATAACTTGTGATTCCTATGATCAGTTTTCTGTTTTTATTTACAGGAAGATCTCTTATTTGTTAGAATCTCTGACAAAAATTATTATTCCTATATCCACTATCCTGAGAATTTCTAATCTGTAAAGATATATGAGAAATTTAATGACAGGATCAATTTACTACTCCGAAGAAGTTAAAACCAAAAAAAATATCTGGATAGGGTTCAGTGGGGAAGAACAGGACATACTTCTCGTGAATTATACTATACTGACAAAGATTATACTGCAAAGATGATGTGAAATGTAATGAAGGCATGGGTGGGAGGAAATACAAAAAAACCTTTTGCATGCACAGAGACAACACTTGGACTCTAATTACCTGCCATTTAAGCAACAAACCTGTCCAGCTCTTTTGAGAGTTTTCCCCATTTCATGCACAACTGAAGAGATCCTAATTTTAATACCATGCATATCAAACGGTGCCTTTGGAGAACGGAATAACTGAAATCTTAAGCCAAAATATTACATAGGAAAAGGAAAGACCTGCAACGCAAATCTGCAGCTCACAGAGAGGAATCAATTTAGAGGAATGGAAAAAAAAAAAAAAAGGCACAATCCTCTGGTAAGTGTGATAACAATTTGAACAGAGGGCAACAGTGGTCAAGCAATTCCAGGTGTTTTCATGAATATGTATATATTTGTAGTGCATCTGCATCTATTTAATTCAGCTTCTACCTTCTTGGTGCTCTTCAGTAATCAAGTATTTGATTTGTAAGATGCTACATCAGTGCCAGCAGGCACAAAATGGTATGATAAATACACTCCTCACAAAATATAAAACCCATGCTCTTAGCGAAGAAAGCACATCTTCAGCTAAATGGAAATCAATATTTCCCTTTAATATTTTTAAAATAGCTCTGCTCAGCCACCTAAAGAGTCCCAGTTGCCACAAAAAGTCATACAAACTCCAAGCCCCGCTCTGTTTAAGTTTCTGTTCCATAGCTCACATCATGAATGTGAACAGGATTCTTCTTGCTTAACTAGACCATAAGAAATTTCTTTAGCAGACCAAGTGAAAAAACAAATCTGATAATTTTTCCATTTTAGCAATTCATTTGAAATCAGTTCCATTACAGAAGCATCAAGTCATTGGTTCTTGTTTTATCACACGCTTTATAAAGACAGGTTTGTTACAACAGCCTTGAAGGGGACCGGCAGTTAGGTTCCCACTGGTCACATTCTTGGGGAGAAACACCTTGGAAGAACTGTGATTCAACAAGACAGGGCTTTTGCAATTTAGAGCTGGGTGTCCCTCGGGGACTAAAGCCACGGAATTAATGCCAGGTGGCACCACTGATTTCGCAGGGAATAAAATTTTGTTTTGTTCTAGAACAACGTGTTTTACAGAAGAGGTGGAGGCACCAGATAGTGATTCTTTTATCACTTCATTTGGGATCTTGCTATATAGGTAATTGGGGGCATTATTTTCCATTACATCTGACCAGGCCCTGTAGTGAACCTCTGCAGATCCCCAGTAGTGTCTAATAGCAGACTCGGAGCGATGGCCTGTCACTGCCATTATTTCTCTAGGCCCCAGTCCTGCTTCACAGAGTAGCTGAATGGTGGTAGTTCGGAGAGAATGATTGGTGTACCGCTGAGAGAGCCGGGCTGCCATACTTATCCTGGGCATCATGGTACCCAGGTAGTTCACACCCATTGGTTCTCTTTTGTACCAGACAGGCTGCTCTTGCATTTGCTCTGATGTTAGCTTTAAGGGGTGCAGATAAAAGGCAGGGGGTTCTGGAGGCAGCTTGGACAAATAAAGTTCCAATGAAAAAACAGGACAGTTTGGGTCACCTGGCATATCATACATTTTACCCATTTTATGAGGATCTTCTCCATTTTTTCCTTTGCCAGGATACCTAAACATAGCATAGCGACGCCCATTCTTGTCCTTCTCAACAACAAATGCATCCGGAGCCAGATCTCTCAAAATTTCCCTCCCTCTCTTGGCAAAATGCAACTGCAAATCAAACCACACCTTGTTGACGAGCGCCAGTGGACTGTGCAAACCCAGCACACCAGATTGCTTAATCTTACGCAAGTCCTCAGCAGCTATAGGAGGATGGTGGTGAGTCTCATCCTTCCCCTGCATGCGCAGCATCTTCAGCACGCTCACAAACACCATGTTTGCACTAGCAAACTCTTTGTCCTTCATTAAGCAAATCTGACGATTATAAGGTGGCATTTTGAGATGCCGGTTTAAGCCGGCCCGCATTGACTTGTAGCTTGCCACACTGTAGGTATTTCCATCATGATTTCTTATTGTGTAATAAAACTCTCTTAAGATATCATTAAGTTCACTTACTGGGACCAATTCAAAGCTAGGATCCTTGCCATTTTTGGCCAGCCACTGTTTTAATAGGTTAGCTGCCCAGCCAGTCTGCTTGTGGGTGTTTTTGATGCTCTTAGCATCCTCTTCCTCTTCCTCCAAGCCAAAGAGGACATCCTCAGGGAAGTTAAAATTCGTCTGTGCTGCTTCTACTGCTTCTTTATTTTCTGATGAAGTCTCTTCCTGTTTCAACTGCTTTTCGAAACAATTGATCAAAGTTGTACCATCAAATATGCCACAGGTATACGGCACACAGCGAACTACTTTTTGATCTGAGAGCTGTGAAGCGTGGAGTAATATGTAATATTTTGGATTTAACGTAACAAAAAGCAGGTGGCATTAACTGGATTTTTCAAATGATATGGCATGTCAATTCCATATCTCACTACCCAATTAAAATGTATCAGGTCTTTTTTAACCATGGCATTACACATGCTTTAACTGATTGCATGGAAAGCAAACCTAGAACATACACTACAACAGAAGACTGAAAACTGGAGAACATCCTATGTCTTATTTCCCTCCTCCTTGCTCACCTTCCGTTGCTAAATGCCACATCATACACATTCTGTTTTCCCAAATTTTTTTCTTGGTTTCAGACTCTAACTGAAAAAAAATTCCAGAATATGCATCCTATACTGAAAATTAAATCTTAAAATTGTACTTCTGTCATCCATTCTGCTACTGGATTTCCTACGTATCAAGTACTGACAAGTGTTTTAATAGCTATAATCCACAGGTATCTTGTGAAGTTCCAAACAACCATTCTCTATGAAATGCCTTAATAAGAAGGTAGAGTGAGGCACAGTTTATACACTAAAATACCTTTAGGTAGTCTGGCTACCTTTGCCAGACTATTTCTGTGACAGGTGAAAACCAGAATATTGTCCAGTATATTTTCTTCTTGCTTTGAAGTACAATTTAGATTTAACTCTACTTTGAAACACTAATGAATTTGTAAATTTTGGCTAGAAGAAATTAATTTTATTCACCTTAATAAAATGACTTCTAACAGCAACGTATAACTATGAGGTGATTTCTGAAATACCTATACACAGAAAGAAAATAATTTATGAATAATTCTAAGTAGTTTAATTTCAACCTTTACATTTCAAAGCAAGTTCAACAAATTTTAGACAAGGAATCCAGAAGTACTACATTTTCTCCTTTATCATGAAGTAGCTATTCCTGAAGAAAGCTTCTTTTCCTTTCTGTTTTCCTATGACATATAGCAATCAAACATTAGAATTCCAATTTTAACTTCTGGATTAGCGCAGAAATGAGAGCACTTTCATAATGTATAAAGTATTTGTAGCTTTAAGTTCAAGCCCTTCAGACAAAGATGGGGCAGGTTTTCTTTGTATATTAGCTCTGTTTTATCAGACAAATTTTTAGTGTGCTCCTAATTTACTAACTCATCTACCTACACAACCCCATCAGAAAACTTCTGAAAAGATTATCAGAAGCTCATGCTCCAAATAATACTCTGAATCAGAAGAAGAAAAATTCAAACGGACAGAAACTAGAAAGGATGGCACAGAAAGAAATTAAAACTGTTTCATTATAAGCAATAAAGGTAAAGAACTTTTCTCCTGTGGATTGTAACTTTAGAATTTTATACAAAAACAATCAACAGCCTACCTGTGTTGTTCCCTCAGCAGTTCGCTTGTTTGCCGAAGTATCTGTTGGTGGCCTGCTTGTCTGGCTGTCTGGGGGGTCAAGAAATTGTTCATTTGCAGTATTTAATCAGTACTAATTACTGCTATTCACTACACAAATTTGGAGACAATATTCAAAACTGTTTGATACTAAACATTCAGTATGTGGCATATCTAACTTTTAGCCCTTATTTTCAATTATAAATATTCAAGTTTGATTAATGTGTTCCCTTCCTTGTAAATTTGACAGTGTATTATAAACATTTTATGAGCAATACTCTTGCCTATCTGAGTACAAAGTATAACTCCAACCTCTCCTCTGTCTGTATGCAAATTGACATGACACTAAACTGAAAAAAATATTACAATTATTAAATATTTTTGTGCCAAAAAAACGGACTGAAAAATGGATGGTTAAACAGACTGCAAAATGTATAACTGAGACAATTTGTGCAGGAAGACTGAGTATCTTTACTAGCTCAGCCCAGTATCTAAATGTATCTAAACTTAAGAAGTTGCTTGAACATTTGATGTAAACAATTAAATCCAAATTCTCTCCCTTTTTATTTTAACCAGTGCTAGCCCAAATCAATTCTGGTGAGAAAACTATATACACTAAGGCTATATGATCTGCATAAAATGGGATACATTTTTTGGACACACAGGTCCTTCTTTGTGTCACTGGGTCTCATCTGGCACAACCCTTTTTATGTTGTGTTAAATTATTTTTATTTGTAGAGCTAGGAGTCAATACAAAACATAAATGTCCAGCTCCATGGAAGACATATTTTAACACAGGTAACTTAGAGATGGGAAAATTAAAAGAAACTAGTTCTGATGTCAAGCTCTGCTTGAGTTCATTTTAACATTATATTGTGCCAATGACGAACTTGCTATAACTCCAATTCATAAATCTTGAAAACCTCTCAGAAAAAAGAAATCAAGGTGTGTAAAACCAAAAGTGCAGAGAAACATCATGGCATGGACAAAGATTGAAAGAAAGTATTTTAAAACAGTTAACCTAGATACCATTATTTGAACATTTATTGTGTTCGGAGACTTTATTTTAAATACTATAAGTGTACTTCTTTGGAACTAGGTTAGTATTCAGTTGTGATTTTTTCTCCCATTTTGTTCACTTTCAAGTGTTGTGCAAATTAAGTTCCTGATTATACTTTCCTCTCAGTATGTCTTTGCTTAGAAAGGCAGTCAAATTATTTTGAGAGACTGTATTAAAAATAAATACCAAGTTGTTAATGGTAGAATAGAGGAGTTTCTGACTTCCTGCTAGAAATTACATAAATCAAGTTTCAAATAAAACAAAGCTTACAAAGCCACATTGCTGACTCCTTCTAAGGAGGGATTATTTTCAACAATGTCTGAAACACATCTACCATACAGATGATTTTCGTCTTGAAAATTTCAACAGAAACGCAAAACGGAAGAATCATCTCTCTAAAACACACTAATAAACAAACTGTCACAGAAGTGCAGTTTTGTGTTTCCCTCTGACAACTGTTTTCCTTTCCCAGTGTTTAAATTCAAGCATAACTTACCAATCTTGGATGCTACAACGGTGGGTGGTTCAGTAGGCGCTGTATTATTAAATGCAGAGACAGGAATCTTCATCTGTAGGGGCGCTCGACTGCTGGTTGCAGTATAAAGTCCTGAAGTACCCACTGTGGGCAAAGAAGTCCTTGTGGTCTGGGCAACAGGATGTGCAGTAGAAACAGCCTGCACTGCCAACGTTGTGCCTATTGACCCAGCACTGGTCGTAGAGTTCCTTTGAATACCAGGACTGGGCACAGGTGGAATGCTATTTGGTTTAGTTGTGTTAGTTGATGCCAAAGACACTGTAGTTTTGGTAAGGCTACCAACTGTAGATGAGTTTTGTACAGATATAAATTCAACATTGCCTGACTGCTGGTTAGAGACCAAAGTCCCTGTGTGGCCTTGCAGAAGCGGAGGCTGGGATGACACTGCAACAGGGACATGCAAGATTACGGGCAAAGACTGCAATGAGACAGCCACTGACTGAGTGCTTCCAGCGGGCACCTGGTTAGTGCCTACAACCGTAGCTGTGTTAGCTGTGGGAAGAACTGCTGTCGTCAAAGAGCTGGTGGAGGTCACTGGAGTTTGAAGCTTAGGATGTCCACTGACAACTGCTGGATAAGGAGCAAGACTGGAAGCTGGCACTACACACAAAAAAATTAATAAAAAAAATTAAGTATTTGAACCAAGTGGGAAGTTTCACTGCAACGCAACAAATGGAAATGATTTATCGTGAGGGCAGTGAGTCACTGGAACTGGTTGTCCAGAGAAGCTGTGAACACCCTATCATTTTAAGTGTTCAAAGTCAGTCTGAACAGGGCTTTGAGCAACCTGATCCTGTGAAAGATGTCCTGGCCCGTGGCAGTGGGTTGGACTAGATGATCTTTAAAGGTCCCTTCCAACCCAAACCATTCTATAAAAGAGGTGGTGTATGATCAACCTTTTTTGCAAATAAAGGCTATAAATACTGTTTTTCTGTTGTACATTCTGATATGCAATGGCCTAGTTAAAAAACACAGTCAATACTGTACTGTTTGAAAGAAGTGGCAGGAAAAAAAAAGATATATAAGGAATTATGACAAACAGGCTTGAAGAAAGCTCCAAGATTTAACTGTTGGGAACATATAAAATACAGCATTTTAAACACTCATTACAGAAATGGTAGAGCAACTGGTCCTTCACAAAACACAAGAAAAACTTTGCCTTGTATAGGTAGGACCTTGTATCCAGAAGGTTCTACCGAAACCAAGTATTAATGTGTCAGAGAAAATACTCACTTTTATGCAACAAAATTTCAAGATTAAATCCAAAAATCAGGAGCATAAGCTAGTGAAAGCCTATATATGCCTACTATTAGATAATTCTGTGGAAAAGATTCAGCATTCAATATTAAACTATTTTTAAAACCGAGGATGGTGAGACTACAATGAATGTAATTAATGGTGGGTTTGAGTCTACATTCCCTATAAAATTTTAATCTAGAAATTCCATTTTTCAACATGATTCCTTTAAGAAATGGGGTTTATAACTGCCATTTAGTTTCCCACTCAATTTCTGCAGCCATTAGGTAGAGGGGAGGATATTAACATCCTACTATGACCAAATACAAAATAGGGCCTGAGCCATGTGTTTCACTTCTTGGCAGCTGAAACTCTGCCAGTTTTGCTGTCATACCTAGTGTGGAGTCTCCTGAAGCATCTAATTTATCCTAATCTAATTTTGGCTGGCCAAATCAACACATTTTTTCACATACCTGGTAAGCCCACTGCACAAATATAAACCAGAAATGTGGTAGAGAGTTAAAAATAATAATTTTTCATGTCAGAAAAAAAAGAAACAAAATTGGTTTTGCTCTGTTTAGTTAGTTACTTCTTTAATGGAAAGCAATAAAACTTTTAAGAAATGTGTTTACAGTCCATAGGGAGTTTCTTACCTGCACTCACAGGTGCTTGAAAAGTTGCTGGTGTGCTCTCTCCTACGTTCCTCTTTGACTCAAGCATCTGCCTCACTGTGCCAGCATTTCTATGGAATGAAGTTTCAAGTAGCATTTCTCAGTAAGTCATGTCAGGTATATTTATGAACAGTACAATGGTGAAAAAATCCCCTTATTTTAGAGCTATTCTTTCCACTGAGATTTTCTAAAGCCATTTTCTGGTCCTCATGGAAATTAACTTTGAATATTCTCCTACTAAAAAAGTGCAGAATTATTTGTACATTTTCAAGTGCTTTCACCAAGTTTGCCTTCCAGTATGAGAATTTTCTCATTCCTGAAATTAAACTTCTAGTTTTATCCATAATTTTTAACCTCTAAAACAACAGCCCGATTTACCTAAGAATACATGCAATATTGTCAATTTATGACTTCTGTGAAAGCAAATTGAATTTTACAACTGAAGAGCAATGAAGGAAAAGGAAGAACACTTTAATTAAAAAAAATCACAATACTGGGATTATCCATGACATTAGGTATCTGAAGTATCCTACTGTAAATTTTCACATGGTCACAGCGATGTGGTTTGCTTACCGATACGTGGCATTGTTTGTATTTGCAGTGTCAGTTGCTGCTTTCCCTGGAGATGCAGGTGCATTTGCTGAATTCTACACCAAATGAGAGAGAGTGAAAGAAAAGCCATAACAAAACAACTCTAAGTCAGCTTGCAAACTTATGCTTTCATTCTATTTCATATCCACTCACCTATGTAAGAGATTCATTTTCTGAAGCCAACAATGCAGGAGAACTTTACAACCCCCTGAAATCCCCTTGGTCCTACCTGCCTCCCTCTCCTATATCCTCTCTTTCCTTTTACCCCTCCACCCCAGAATCAAGGTACTGGGATTCACTCTTATTTACACTGTACTCTTCATACTAAAGTAAATTAGATTCAATTATATACAGTTTAAGGTGTTTTCAAGCTAATAATGGCTAAAGAAGCTTCTGTACGAATCAGAATTACAAACAGATGTTGAAAAACTTCTTTCATATCAGTGTCTTTAACCAAACCAGACAAATGTACTTTGTGAATGCCACTGAACAACCAAATCACATCTTTCTGCATATAAATTTTCTTTATTTTTCAACACAACTCAGAAAAAGAAAACCAAACCACGACACTATCCAGTTCGTACTTCCTGTCTCTTCTTCCAGTCCTCCTTGGCTGCTCCAAACCGCTTTGTCAATCTAGCAATTTTAGCCTAAATGGGAAGAAGATGAAAACAAACAAAACCATAAATGTCCTCCCCAAGAACCATGAAAGAAATTATACAAACTAAAATATATACAACTAACACATCAAGTCGAAGGCTATCTTCATATGAGGGGAAATTATTCTTCCTTGAAATACAGTACAACTGTATTATTTCAGAACAGCAGAAAGACACATCTGTGTATCACAATCAAGCTATCTCATAGACAACTTGAATTATTTCCTTCCTATTCACAATTGCACAAACCGAATCCCTCTTTCATATTCACATGAAACCCTACATATATGAAAGTCTTACATGATGTTATTAATTTGACAGTGTAGTTGATGGCTAAAGACACTGGTACACAAGTATACTGTAAGCATCTTAGCACTCAAAAAGTCAATGTAAAATGTCTGGGGCAGCAAGAGGAAAGAGCTGTGTGGTAGGAAGTCGTCTGGCAAACTCCATATTTCTTTTAACACTAAAAGTATAACAGTCTTATTGTTTGAAGTTGTTATGACAGAAGCTTTTAATTGTCTTGTCACTTCAAAATTCTTTGATTTTTGTGATGTTCCTCATGTCACCACTATGTATGTATTTTCTATAAAGAATACAAGAAAGCATACTGCATTCACCACTAACTATTTGTTTCCTTGCTGATTGTTTAGTTTCTGGGGAAACAACAGTCAGCAAACTTCTGGCTTCATAGAGGCATTAGATATTTTCATACCTAGCATTTATTTGAAAATTGTCATCTAACAGAACAGCACAGAATGGAAGAAGAGAATGGAAAAGTGGTTTACTAGCAGCTAATGAATCAGTTTGCCAGAAGGAAGATCTGCTTTGGGGTTTTTTGATGATTAACTGCTTGCATTCCTCTTTCTGAGTTGGAAAATACAGTTTTACAACTCAAAAGGAACATTAGTATTTGCTGCTCCCCCACCCTCTTCTCCCCTTGTGAAGCCAAAATGGCTTCCCTACTGACAACTACAGGAGACTTACTACTAAATATTGAGGAACTTATTTTTGATTTTGACCCCAGTACGCAGCTGAACACACACTCACCTGCAGTTCAGTAAACGCAGTTTTATGCCTCTTGGTACATTCAGCTTTCTCTATTCGGGTTTTCAAGTCTGCCAGAGTCTTGTCAAATATCACACACTGTAAAGTGCTAAGTTTTTCTTCTAACAGTTTCTGGATAACCTGCAAAATTATTATATTAAAAAAATAACAATGCAATTCCAAAATTTGGGAGACCATCCATAAAAATATTCTCAATTCTTACCAAGTATCCTGCTATAAACAGAACAATGAGAACTGTTGTGCCCTGTCAATCAAATAAATCTATAGTCACCAATAAGTGTGTGGTTGCATAGCTAAGAAGTTTCTACATCTACTTTGGCAAATACAAATGGTCCCTTCTTTGCCATTAATAGATATTTTCTTAAACTGCAGTGTTTACACAAAGTTTTCTTCTTACTTTTCTGTTCTTGAGAGGGACACTGGCATTCAAAGAACAGAAACTAAAGACATTTAACAAAACCTTATTTCTGAGATGTATTTTCCCCTAGCAAAAATGCAGTGTTGCTTTTCTTGCAGAGGCTAAAAACAGAAAAAGAAAAGACTGATTTCCACAAATTTTGATAAACTTATTACTTAAATTTTTTCTCCCTTCTATACCTTTTGCAGCACAAAAAAAAATGTCTTGGGAAACAAAAATAAATAAGCAACAAACGTGGTTCAGTTTTTGCCATCCTACATTGATGAAGTTACAACACACTAGCTAACTAATGGAAGAATAGCACAATTTTTTTTCTTCAAGATCATAGGTTCCTTACATAGCAATGGTGCAATCAGCTCTACAGAAATCTGCAAAATGCTATGTCGATTGTGCTTGTTTGGAGACTCTTTAAAGCCAGGCACAAAATAAAATGCATCACATATAAGCTTCCCAAGCTGAAATAACACCTTTACCAAGATTCTCATACTGGAGTCATATGAGACCTAAGAGTTTAACTATTTTATACATTTCAAATATAACTCCTGCAGCATAGTTTTCAAATGATATTTGGTCTCTTCTTAAAAGTAAGGCAATGTAGGACTTTATAGAAAATAAGCCAACTTTTGTTATTTGAATTATATCCAATGCTCAACCACAAAAAAGAGGAAGTGTTTGGGGGTGCAGGGAGTGGTGGGAAAGGACAGCTAATTCAAAGCTGGTAACACAAGTGACAGGTGTGCGTACATTCTTCGCTCTGCACTTCCGTTCTACCTTTTGTAATTTTTGGTCAACATCCTTTCTGGCTGTAATTTTTACTTGGAGTTCTGCCTCATAATCTTCTTCCATGTACCGACGATGTTTAAAATGAACATCATCCATGTCCTCAGATTTGGAACGCTTTCTCTTTAATGCTTCACCTGGAACAATTAGATACAACTGCTCGTGAGGAATTCTTGAAAAAACAGATATCTGCAGAATGCCATGATTACTACAGTTTCATTTGTCTTCAATTTAAGTTTTTTCATTCTAAACCAGTAAGAATGCCTTTGGGAAAACAACATGCTTAATGACATCAGAGTAAAAAACCAGTCCCTTCGGTATCTATATATTACTGCCCTGTTAGTGAGTTCTGCTTTGTGATTCCCCAAATCACTACCACATATGCAAAATGGCTCTAGTACCACCATTCCCCTCTCCAGAACTTCCCTCCAGTTCTTCCTGCTTCTATCAGCACCATCCTATAATGAGATACAACTTCTGAGAAGCAAAACAAAATCCTCATCTTCTCAGGATTCCAGCTGAATTAAACTGCATCTCATTCTAACCGTGCCAGCAATGAACTGTATTTACCTGCCATGAATTTTAACCTGTACCTCCAACATCTGACTCAAAAAACATTCAAACTTTTTTCTTACTTCTTGGGTAAGAAGTAAAAATCTAACAAAAGAACAGGCTCAAGAATAAAGTAACATCAGCTTTCTAACCTAGCAACTGGTTGGAGAGTTTATTTCATGGTTTGCAGTAACAAGCCTGATAGAAGGCTATGGTGAGACAACTAGCTTGGTGGATGAGGGGAGAGCAATGAGTGCTGCTTATCTTGAGTAATGTTTTTGACACCCAAAACATCCTCAGAGACAAATTCATGATGTATGGCCTAGATAATTGGACTGGCACAACCGAGGGGCTCCAAGAGTTGTGATTAGTGGCACATAGTCCAGCTGGAGCTCCTCACTAGTTAAGTACACCAGCAGATGCTACTGGTACCAACACTAACATCTTCATTTATGACCTAGACAATGGGATAACAGGACAATTTGCAAATGATGCAAGACTGGTAGGAGCGATTGGTACACTAAATGGTTATCACGCCATTCAGTCACATTGACAAATTGGAGAAACGGGCAAAAAAGAATCTCATGAATTTTAACAAAAGGAAATGCAAAGAGTACTGCACTTGGGTAGGGATAAACACATGTACTAGTACAGGCTGGGAACTCGCTGGAAAACAGCTCTACAGAAAAGGCCCGGCTGCTCTTCATGCACATGAAGTTGAACATGGGCCAGAAATGTGCACTGTTGGCAAAGAAGGCCAACAATATCCTTGGCTGCCTGATGATGAGTATTGCCAGCAGGTTGAGGGAGGCAATTATTCCCCTCTAATCGGGACATGTGAGACTGAACCTTGACTCTTATGTCCAGTTCTGGGCTTCTAAATACAAGAAAGATGCAAGAATACTGGAGAGAGTGCAGTGTAGATTCACCAAGGTGTTTTACAGACTGAAGTATCCATCATGAGCTGGAATTGTTTAACTGGAGAAGGCCATTAGGGGAGAGTAAACAAGACAGAGCAAGTCTCTTTATGAGTACTAGTGACAGGACAAGAGAAGTGGATGTAAACTGAAATACAGGAAATTCCACTCAGACATATAAAAAGTTTTTTACTGTGAGGGTGGTCAAACACTGGAAGCAGAACACTGGAAGGTTGTGCAATCCCCACGTAGGGAGATATTCAAAACCTCTCTCTGGACACGGTTCTGAGCAAACTGCTCTAGTTGACCAGGTTTTAAATAGGGGCATTGGACTATATAATCACTGAAAGTCCCCTCCAACCTCAATGATTCTGTGCTTCTAATACAAACCACCAAGTGAAGCATAATAGTTCTAACATTACGTACTTTTCTCTGTTTGTTTCTCTTCTTTGTGGGCCTCTTCTCCTTCTTTATTCTCCTCACTCTCGTTTCTTCTCTCCTCCTTCACCTCTTCTATAAACAGAAGAAAGAACTCTATGTGTTACTTAGATGTTCAAAAGTCTTATAATCGTCCAAGTTTGACTAGCAAATTTAGAATACTTATTAAAGACCATGTCAGGGAGGGGAAATAAGAATGACAGAAAGGGAATGCAGATATGAAAAAATAAGAGAATACCCTCAAAACAAAAATTTGAACTATCATCTAACACAGTAAGATTCACTTCTGAATCTGCTTAGCAATAAAATCAGAATAACTGAACTATAATAACTATAATAACTGAGGTAACATAATGTTTCAGTTACCTCTGAAACGAAAAGAACGTATTTTTAAACTTAGCTAAAGTAGTCAACAAAGTATTTTAGCTTATTTTTCTGCATAGGGAAAATGTATAAAAATTTCAGTAACAAATTACTAATATGTTTCTCTATTTACAATTGGTAAATTCAGCCATAATTTTTATGGTAGAAAAGGTCTAGATTCTTCTTTGGTTAACAAATATGAATTTTCATTTAAAGTTTCTCACTAATACAAATCTTGATAATACAATATCACAATAGAGGACCAGTCATTTAAAATTATACATTTTAGGAAATGCTTAAATAAAGAAAAATCTGAATCCCCAAACACACAGAGGTTAAAATGAAAAATGCTAACGCTTCCTGAAAAACTTTATTATCTGTTCCATTACATTCCATTATGTGTTTCATATAGGCCATATTTGCTACCTCCTACACTGGCTAGATATAACCTATAACTATTGCTTTTGAGATTACATTAAAATCTATCCAGAGCAACTCAGCACTGCGCTACTGTACACTTCTTCAATTTCCTGTATTTGTTTTGTCATTCACAGCATCTACTACCTTTTCTAGGGAAAGTTCTAGCTGCAAAGGTATGCTTGATGCTCTCTTAAAATTAAATTTTACTTCTATTATGAAGAACATTTGAATGATTTAAAATAAGTCACCTAGTAAATCAGAAAAAAGAAGGAGTCAGAAAATAAAAATCTGAAATTATGACAATTTTTATTTTGTTAATTCATACAAGAAATAATATTCAGAAGATAAATTCTGCAAAGCAAAGCTGATTTACTTTTAAGGTAATAAAAATGGTATAGTGTCTATGCCACCTGCTTTTTAAGACTTACAGATAAGTTTCATGTGTTTAAGTGTTATGAATAAAATAGGACTAATTTACTTAAGAATCTAAAGGAGAGTCATTAAGTTCAAGAGAACATTTCCCACAATTCATAGATTTTAATATTCAGCTGAAAGACACAAATATTGCACGGAAAGATATACACACCTGGAATGTCTTTAACATAAGTTAAAAGCTTCAAAGTTAAGTTTTTTTCAGTTCTATGTAAAGGACAAGTAATGTCAGGGAGGAGGAAGTCCTTCCTTTACAAATTTCTATCACTGTGAAGAAATCTAGCTCATTTAACACAATGCCCAGCTAAACCTCTTTAGATAAGGAGGAGAAAATTTTACAACTGACTATCAGCTTATTTTTCACTGGTAATTTGTGATCTTGTTATCCTGATGCTAGACAGGCAGAAGCAACGAATGCAACCCTTTAAAAAAAACTGATTATATCATCAAGTTATCAGTGTATTTATCACAATCACAGTTGTCTTAAGTCACACTATTTGCTGTGCATCTCAACACAAAGGTACAAAGGTGTTTTGGGGTTTTTTAAATTTTTTTTGACTGAGTGTTTGTCTGTTACTAAACAATTGAAAATACCTTGTGATAATTTATACAGCTACAAGCATTTATATCTGCTTAGTGACTGGCTGGTTGACTATTTGGATGTCAGTTCTGCTAAAATACATATATAAATGGAAATAAGAATAATCTGTAAGCCTGAGAGCATTTGAACAGTATTTGAAAGTTACTCTGGACTGCACAGTCATACTCACTATTTCACAATCTTGTGACTGCAACACTGTCCTTATAGACTGGCTAGAAATGAGGTGCATAGACAGCAATTACAAGAACAAAAGCACAGTCTTTCTAAGTAGTGAATCGCTGACCAAACTCTACACCAAAATTATTATAATAACAGAAATACAGATTTTCCCCATGAAGCATGACAGAATTTGACTATTTTTGTTTTGGAAAAAAATCATAGATTTATGTACCTTCAACGGAATCATCAGGACTTAGACATGTTGGAGAAATGGGATGACAAACACTTTACGATACTCAACAAGGACAAATACAGAAATCCTGCACCTGGGAAGGGAGAACCCCTGTATGACACAGGCTTGGGCCACACAGCTGGAGGGCAGTTCTCCTTTGAGGGCCCACACAGAGAGCAAGCAAAGCATGAGCAAAGAGTGTGCCCTGGCAGCAGACGATGTCCAGAACTCCCTGGGTATAGCACTGATGGAACATTATGAGGAAAATCCTCTATTAACAGAGGCATCAAAGCCAGGTGGATATAGGGAAGTCCACGGGGACATATGAGATGTACCCAACAGTGCTGAGGGAGGTAGGCTGCTGGCACTGTGAGGCCCCTCTCCATCATCTTCATGGCAACCAAGGGAAGTTTGGGCAACCAAGAGAAATGTCACTGCCATGTTCAAGACAAGTCAAGGAGGATAGTTTAGAAAAACTATAGGCTGGTTGGCCTCACTTGACATCTTGGGGACGTTATAAAAAAAGTCCTCAGCAGAAGCCATTATCAAGCACACAAAGGAAAGGAAGGTGAATGGGAATATTCAGCTTGGATTTAGCAAGGGCAAACCATGCCTGGCAGATCTGGTGGGTTTTTTACAATGGGCTCAAAGAATTGGCATCAGAGATATATAATCAAGCAGGTGGCTTAGCACTAGAGACAGTCTTCAGGGATCTGTACTGGACTGATGCTGTGCACTGTATTTACTAATAGCCCGGACCTGTGGATAGATCACACTTTGCGAGTTCATAGATACAAACTGGGGGGGAGTGGTAAGTTTTCTGCAGGGCACAGCTGCTATTCAGAGACAAACTGGCAGGCTGAAAAAGTGGACCAAGCACATGTGCAAATGCAGGCCTGCATTTGGGATAGAATAATCCTATGCAATAGGACAGTCTGGGGGTTGACTGGCTAGAACATATCTTTGTAGAATAGGGCCTTGATTCATGGTGGAAAGCAAGCTGAATGTGGAGGATTGTGGACCAGGGCAGAACTTAAAGGGTTAACAAAGCAGTGGACATTGCCAGAACGGAAGAGAATGTGGCAGAAAGTGGGAGGAAGTGTCTACGATGCGCGTGGAGCCAAAGGTCGAAAGACGCTGATAGGTGCAAAGATGGACATTATTTGTTAATAGGTAGAAATATGCATACTGTAATTTTATAGGGCCAAGTATTGCTTGTTGATAGGTTGAAGATGCTTAGCTCACAGACCAGCAACAAAACTAGTTCCTCTATAAATAGAGGTTTTAAATAAATAAATGATTCTCTGGTGACCAGTGGGGGTGTCTGTGCCACAATTGCTACAGCTGAACACTAATCAGCAGCGTGGAGTAAGTTCAATAGCATTTCAGGCCATATTAACAAGAAATGTGTCTACCAGAATGAGGGAAGTGATTATCTTTCGTTGAGCACTCAAGAAACCCTCAGAGTGCTCTTCCTCCTCCCATTCAGAGCACTATGTCCAGATTTTGGAGCCCCAATCCTAAAAAGGCACTGACAAAACCACAGCAAGTCCAGCAGAGGGTCACCAGAATGGTTAAGGGAAGGAAAAACACGGTACGTGAGGAACTGCTTTGCTCAGCCTCAATGAGTGAACACTAATTGGAGATTGTATCACTGCCTTCCATTACATAAAGGGAGGACAGAGAGAAGACAGAACCACTACTCTTTGAGGTGCACACTAACAGAACTGGAAGCAGTGGACACAAGCTGGAACACAGAAGATTCCAATTTAGAAAATTTTTCACTGCTACAGTTGGTTACATATTAGGCCACACAGGAAGAAGTTATGGTTTATCCACCCGTGGAGAAGCACAAAAGTAAACTGCCAAGGTCCCTGAGCTATGTGATATAACTGCACTTGCTTTGAGTGGGAGGTTGAAATAAAGACCATCAGAGGGTTAAATTAAAATTACTCCATGATCTTCCCTGTTGCTTTTTCATGTACCTTTTCCAATTCTGTGCTATCTTCTTTGACATGGGGAGTGGGAAGGAAAGAGAATTAACAAAAACATTTAAGACCTCGGTGTCTCATGGTAAAGTTTTCCTCAGCTTCTTAATTTGTTCCCAGCATTCTTTACTTGCTTTCTTTAACTGCTACTCTATCAATATTTCCTCAAAGCTGCCTTCTATAATTCTGGAAAATTTTGAAGTGGTGAGTCAGTTCTACTTTCCTATCAATTTATTAACATTTTTGTACTCATGAGACCCATTTTGTAGATAACCACAATGAGTTTCATCTGCCATATTTATCCCTCAGTCATTCAGCATTGTAAAAATTCTTCTCCAGTCCTTCACAATATAATCAGCAAACTGTCACCTCACTAACCGTTCATTTTAGGCAAATTATTAATTCTGTCACACAGTGCAGTCTCTGGGACAGATAACTGCAGTTTTATTTTTCATTCTTTGACTGATTATTTCCTCCATGAGGACTTTCTATCTTACATGAAGACAATTTAATTTCCAAAAGTTCTCGGTAAGAAATCAGTTGTGCTTGGATATCCAAGTGAATTCAAATACATCAATCAGGTCTTCCTTATCATGTGCTTGTTTGCTTATCCAAAGGGCTCCAAGGTTTTCTAACGTATGATCTTTTGTTACAAAAACATGTGACAACATAGCTATTGTATTTACTAATTCCACCTGAGAAAAAGGTTCTCTTAATCTGTCCATTTGAATAAAATCTTCTAGTATCATTCTTCCATTGTTGTTTAGCCATGCTGGTTTTCATTTGGACTTCTTGATATCTTACTTCTTAACTGAACAGTTTGCACCTGTGCCTCCAATAGAGCATCTTGGAATGATCTCCATGTGGTCTCCACAGTTTTAATTTTCACAGACTCTTTCCAGAAGTTATTCTTTATCTTCTAAGATAACTCTACCTGTTTTCTCATGTAATTGTTTCCTGCCCATGCAACCTCTCTACTATTATCTTTGTTATTGCTTCTGGACAGTGACCAATTTTCATTTTATGAACAGTCTCAATTACTGCAACTGTAAAAGCCAAATTGTTATAGCTAATAAATAAAATAACTAGTCAAGAGAATTTATTTTGTCACTAAAGTAAAAAATCTGCAAAAATACCAATTCAAACTAATATTAACTTCAGCCATTTTGCTCAGAGCAAAGTCTTCTGTGATCACTGTGTTTTTTCGTTGGGTAAGATGGAAAAGCAACCCTAATGTCTCCAATAACAGAACACTTAAACTGCAGTGAGAACAAGGGTAATCAATTAATTTGTAATATTCACTTTATAAAAGGGACTTGTAACACACTATAATTTTAGACACATGTGCACACATTATTTCTCCCTGCCTCCTCCACCTCCAGTAGTTTCTGGAAGACTTTCACTGCACAACAATGGTATCACTTTTGCAATCTCAGTGCAACAATTAACACTTGAATAAGATCCTTAGAAAAAACTATGGAATCTACCTTATCTCTGTTTAACTAGCACAAATTCAAAGGTAAATACCTTTGAAAAGGAGGAGTCTGAAATATGGCTGAAGAGACATTCTTATCTCCATTTCTCTAGCTGTTTAGAGACTGAAGACTCACAATGCCATCTCACATTAGTGAAAGACAGTCTCATCAACAGTGAAACAAAACTTGATAAACTGTGGTTACTAACTTCCTGACTGAAAAACACCTGAATCTTGTTTAAGCTATGGAATTTCTACCCAGTCAAGTATATTTAAAACCACTTGGGTTAGCATGGTCATCATTTCATAAAACAATATGGGGGGGGAAAGAAAGAAGAACAGCAAAAAAATCCAACCCCAAGATAATTTGAAACAACATCTTTCTTAATTACAGATAGAAGAGCAATGTCAAGTTATCCATAAATTGTTAATCTGTTTTATTTTCAGAAGTGCAATAGTACGACAATGAATGCCCAATGTAAAAAAAAGAAAAAACAGCTTACAAAACTCTGACAATAACAGACTATAGAGGACATCCATTCAGTTTAACTTAAAAAATCTTCTGCTAACTACATGAAGAGATTAAAGTACCAGCTTCCCACACTTAACATTTAAAAGCATTAATCAGATGCCACAGTTATTAAAGTTAGATAAACCCCACTATGAGTTAAACGAATAAAAGCCTTGCATTTTTCATGAAACCTTTCCAATACTGTCTTCTAATGAAAAAAAAAAGTTACAACAAATAAGAGCTGTGGCATGCCTGGATTACAAATATGTTTTCCTTCTTACCATTTATTTCCACATTAAAGAAGGCTGAAACCCTTTCTTTCCCTGAAGAGCAGTACCTGAATGCATTTCTTTTTTCACAAACCCTTCTGTTCCATCTCTGGCAATTACTCATCCTTTCTCTTTTTCCACCTACCACCTCACCCAAGTTTGCACCTAAATTTGCAAAGAGTATGAAAAAAAACCCCAAAAACCCCAAATCAAAACAAACCAGATGTCTAAGATGATAGTTTCTTGGAGTTACTTTTATTTTTTCCTGGGCCTCAAATGCCACCCTTGAAAACTGCAAGACTACATAACATAACTGGAGGGTAACACTGCCTTTTTGATTCAGAAACATGAAACTTGTGTGTCATTCTAAGAAATTAACAAAATCCCAAAGCTGAAATAAAAAATTCTTACCTGGAAGACTTGACTTGTTTGATACTACCCCTTCAACCCGTTCCTCTTTCTCATCACAGGGATCCTCTTCATCAGATAGTACTAAGAAAGCCTCTTTTGGCAGACTTTCATTGCTTTCCTGCTTGGATGGTGAACCCAAACAGTTGTCTATTTTTTCTTCTAAATCTGGGGCTGTGTCATCCACTGGAAGCAGAGAACTTTTAGAAAAACAGCTCAGATCATCTTCAGCAGGGGCTAGTTTTTCCAAAATTGGAATAATTTCATCTGTTTCCATAGAGTCAGTATTGTCCAAGATACTTTGACTTGGCTCATCTAATGTCTTCGGAACAGCGGTTTCTGAAAGACCTGCACTGCCCTCTTGTTTTTCCTGGTCAGCTTCCATACTGCTAGAGATGGCTGCTTCTCCAACAGCCTCTTCAACAGTAACTACTTCAGTCCTCTTTTCCCCACTAGGTGAACTGGAATTAACGGTTATATTATTTGTTTCTCCCTTTTCTTCAGAAGAGTCAGTAATATCATCGACTGATTTACTTTCAGCTTCCAATGGGATGTCACTCTTTCTTTGGTCCAAATGATCTTTTGTATCATTTTGTTCATGGAAGTTGTCTTTATTGCTACCAAGCACTCCATTTTCTGCCTCACAAGCTACTGCAGTAACAGTATCTTTATCTTGCTCAGGAGTAGTATTTTCTGGAGACAGCGTCAGAGGTTTGGATTCTATGTCACTGACTATGTTTCCTGTCCTACTTTCAGGGCTTTTGGCCTCACTAATTTCATCAGAAGCTGTTCTTTCTTCTTCAGAGTTAACACACAAGTCAACTATGCCATTAACTTCCTTCTTGTCCTCCATACAGTCTGAATTGCTTAAAGGGGAATTTAAATCAGAATCTCCATTCTCATGTTTTCCATTTAACAGTTTCACTTCAGTTGTCTTCAACAGCTCCTCTTTAACCTTATAGACAGCTTCAAGTTGTTGTCGATCGCTTACTCTCATTGTTTTTCGCGCTTTAAAGACTTTTTTCTGAGGTTCATCTGTGCTATCCATCTTGACCCTTAAAAAAAGGTTCAGAAAGAATTGTGAAGGGAAAAATTTATCATCATTATCTTAGTACTACTCCTGTAGCACTTAGCACATTTTAAAGTAACCAGTTCAACTGTATCAACAAAAACAAAGAAACAACTGTCAACACAATTAAAACACTACCTGACCTCACAAAAAGGGAATTCAAGTTTCTATACATGTTGCACAAATACCTGTATGCAAAGATCACAGAAATCACACATTAGACAGCAGTAGTCTGACTACACATTTTAGACTAGATGCCTCAGATACTGTACTAAGGCAAGAGTCAGCAGCCTTTCTTCTCATAAAAAAGTAAAAATAAATATAAACTGATGGACCAGGAATATTTTTATCTTTCTAAAAATATGTAATTTCATGAGTTTCAAATAGAATTAACAACTGGGGTAAATGACAGGATTTTTATATCAAGTTACTTTAAAAAAAACATTATATAGAAAGAATTTCTGAACGTTTCATTAAGATGCTTTCTTTTGTATAGATAAAACACACTTTTATCTTCCCTATCTATACAAGGGTTAACTGAACTTGGGTTTTTAAAGCACTTTCATTCAATTTGCAATAATATTTTACTAAGACTATTTTTGGCCATAAAAACTACAGGTGTTGCAGCACCTTACAGAAAAATTTTCTCTTTCAAGGAAAATGGGTGGTTTTGCCCTCTGTACAATTATATTCACTCCATTCACCCACACAAACATTAAGAAAAACAAGAACATTTATTAAAAAAAATTAAGAAAAATGATAGAAAATCTATTTTATCAAACCAATAAATGGAGAGAAAATCAGCATTACCTAAGAATTTATAATGATTTTGTTGAAATACAAGAAAATCTTATTTAATTTGTTTCCATTAAACAAAGCAAATCCACAGGGATTTTTAAAATAGTTTTCCCCCACAAGGTCTTGCTTTAGGGTCTAGTTTTAAAGGATCATATCGGTAATATTCAGAAGCAGAAAGCAGTTAAGGAAGTTGTTACACACTAAATGTAACTCAAGAACTAAGATCGTGATTCAGCTGATGTTAACCAATTTAGCTCTACAAACCATCATAAGTCACTCCTGTCTAGGATACAGCTTTTATTAAGTTTCTCAAAAACATGCAAAAAATTAACTTGGGTAACAGTAGTTAAAAGACAGAGCAAGTAGAAAAAAAAAATCAGGCAGTTATCTCTATATGATTTTTTTCACCCACAAGCACCAGATAGGCAATGTTTATAACACTGATACAGCAGAATTATTAGACAAATGATGCATTTTAAGTATTTAGGATGATTCATTTTGCATCATCCCTCAATTCACTTTCATTCACAGAGCTGAGAAATTAATTAATAAACTGCATTTTGTCTTTTCAGGTGCAATATAAATTATTTTTAAAATTTTACTGATAAAAGAAAGCAGGACTATTGAGAACATTAGCTCAAATCGATGGCTTTGTGTAATCACAAGTTCAAGAGCGTTTGGACAACCCCCTCAGGCACATGGAGTGATTCTTGGGGTTGTCCCATGCAGGGTCAGGAGCCGGACTCAATCCTTGTGGTCCCTTCCAACTCAGGCTATTCTACAATTTTATGAACCAAGTCACAAAATGCAGAAAACAGATTCCACAGCCTCTAAGTAACAATTTGGCTCCACCCCATTTTGCAATCAACTTTTCCTCCAAGTTTTATTTAGGCAGTCCTAAGAGTGCTCTTTAGCCTTCTCTTGAGCGATTAAAGATGTCAAGCTCTCTCAGCATCTCATTGTAGGTCACGCGCTTAAGCTCCTACCATTTTGGTCTGCTGGATTTTTCCCAGTTTACTTGGAACAGTTTGCTTATGAAGAAAATTACTTGACATTTATCCTCAACTGCAATATTCTACACTGTAAGATAACAATATACATTCTAAGGTAAAATATGAATTCAACTACCAAGACAAACTCTAAATCCCACAATCATGATGTGCCATACTTTACAATCATAAGGCTTCTTTTACGCTTAGTTAACATGACCTGACAAAACCAGGGACAAAGCAGAAAGCAACTTTTTGCACTTCCTATTAATGCAACATTGAGCTTCCCTTCCACTTTATTACAGTTCTTTTCTGCAAGACAGTCTGGAATTTTCGTATTTGAGTTACTGATAGTACTTAATACTTGGACACTCACATTCAGGAACAGATCACAGAATCACAGAATATGCTGAGGTGGAAGGGACCTACAGGGATCATCGAGTCCAACTCTTAGCCCTGCACAGGACCGTCCCCAAGAGTCACACCATGTGCCTGAAAGCATTGTCCAAATGCTTCTTGAACTCTGCCAGCTTGGTGCTGTGACCACTTCCCTGTTCCAATGCCCAACCACTCTCTGGGTGAAGAACCTTTTGCTAATCTCCAACCTAAATCTCTTGACAAAATGTTGTATCAGCTCTACTTACAGACTCTCAATAATACCATTAAGATATACATTTTTGCCAGTCTTAACTAGATTTTCTGAACCAGATCGTCAATTAGTGCATGGTCACTACTGGGAGCAAAACATAACATCTATAGAAACACTGATCTGAAACATCAGTTTACTTGTTCTTGGAAAATGTTCTCATCACATAGCCATTTTCAATCAGATGAAATATGAAATCCAGGTAAGCTGTTAATGCCTTTCCAGAGCTGCCTGTATGCTAAATACAGTTTCTTCATGTTTCTTCAGAAGAGAACATATTTAACACAGGAATTCTAGACCCGAAGTTACAAAACGCACGTAAAAACCTCTAGTATTTCTGAAGTGCGCGGGCGGTTTTTGAAAGCACATCCCTTCCGTCTTCCCAAAAACTCAGCATGTAAGGCACATTTTTTCACATCGTTCTAAAAGCATATGTCATACCGCCATGTAATAGAATACCGACAATCATACTCATGTTCCACGCATATAATCCCCTACAACCAACATGTATGCTGTTGCAGATTTTTATCTTGTAGAGCCAATTTGGAAAAAAAAAATAGAAAATGCCAGGTTTGGCTAGCCTTGAATAATTCCAAGGCTCCTAATAGGTGACTCATGAGTGAGAGTCTACTGTTAGAACAGTATGAGAATATAGGGCCTTTGCATCAAAATTACAACAGACAAATAGTTTAATCTCCCGGACTACAATGCTTCCTTTTACAGGCATTACAAGAATTTACAAAACATATCACAGTATTCATATTCTTACTTTTCCTGTCACCAAAAGATATACTAACAGATTAATATAACATTTACAAACAACTTAAAATCAGATTTATAAGTGCATCACTTTGTAATCAAAAAATATAAAATATAACTTAAAAGAATGTAATATTTTCTGTTCTAATTTCCTTAACTACCTAAGCAGTTTTTCACTCATATTTTTAACATAAGAGTAAATACAGAGAAAATGAAAGACACTTCATCTTAAATTTACCAAGAATAGCAGTCTCAAAAAATCAAACATCAGAATACCTTTATATTGATGCATCCTTATTTTTTCTTAAAAAATACTGAAAAAACCAGTTTAAATTTCTAATATGTTTAAAAATTATGTTTATTTTTTATCTTAGGACATTATTCAAAATCTAGTTAAAAATAAAGCTCTTATACAGTTGTAGAAAGAACCTGCAAGAAAAACAGGCTTCTCAAAATTCCAATGTTAGATGGTTATTTGAGTAACTCATGCATATTTTCAGCTCAATCCCACAATCTTTTGCAACTATAAAGTATTCAATAAAAGCTACTAAAAATATTAAATAAAAGCTACCCTCAGTGACAAAATTACAAGCACAGATGAGATGAACTAGCGTTTAGTGCTCATCTTTTAACAGCGAAATATCACGTAGCACAGCAGAGCAGCCTTGAAGTGTTTCCAGCCATACCCACAAGGGAGCACAGTGCAGCCAAGGAACAGATCTCATGTGAGAGCTGAGTAAAAGAAACAAATCAATCGGTAACCAGTCCAGATAGGTTTGGTCACACCTGTGCAAGCCAATCAGGCGCCATCTGATAAACACTGCCTTCCAGCCTCTCAAAGGGGCAAGGAGGCAGCCCTTCAGAGAGCAATGCCAGGGCAAAGCTACCTTGCAGAAATAAAACATTTTAAATTACTAGTGTTCTAAATGAATGTATTTGGGTAATCTCCCTTAATACTTAACATTAACAAATCTAAGCTACTTTTGCTCATCTGATGCTTGGGTGTTTTCTCTTTTTTTACTCATCATGTGACCAAGTCACAAGGAGGAAATGAGTGGCCCAGGCACCAAGCCAATGGAGGGGCATGTTTTATTTCAATTAAAGGCATTTGTACAGAACAGCAAAAAATGACTCCTGCATGTAGAGCTACATGTATAAGGGTTAAAAGCTGTAAATAAGGTGGTAGGTTTTGGGCTGATTTTTTTGTTATGATTTTTTAAACTGAAAATTCAGTTTTGAAGTATCAACATGCACATATTTTCTATATTTTTTTTTTTGTTTAGATATGAAAATTCCCTTTTTCATTTTAGGCTTGAAAGTCATATGCACTTCAGCATGTGAGACGCAAACACAGCGTTAGGCACCTCCCTCCAATACTTGAAAATTTCCTTCTCATGATGAAATGTGTGCCGCATGGCACAAAATGCTACATGGCTGCCAGTGCAGCTAGGAATATGGGGAGGTCTCTTCTCTAAGCCAATTAAAAAGTTTACCCTCTATTTCCTTATTTTTTAAATTATTATTATTCTGCAGACAGATCGCAGCTCTAAAGTAACAAAGGAAGGTATTAGATGCTCTGGATAAGCCTATGATCATGTGCTCAGGTAAGCAGCCCATGAGCTGCTCCAAACGTTAAGCCAATCAGCAAGGAGCTGCCTGAATCTTGCCTAGTAACAGGCAGCAGACAAAAGGAAGGTCATGGAAACACGGGGGGTGGGAGAAGCTGCAATCTAAACAATAGTGCACAATGGGGTTTGCATAATATCATGGGTCTAGAACAGCACAGGTACAGGGTTCCTGGGGGGCTTGCAGAGCTGGCCAAAAACACGGCAACCATAAAACATTTGCCAAAGCACAAGAACTACATAGATGAAGGATAGTTCACTGATCATGAACATCAGTGCTCAAATGCGCAAATCTACTTAAAATCTACTTAAAATACGGCATAGCCAAATCAAGGAAAGTGAGGCAGCAAATGGTCATGAGTATTTTGTTCTAGGTGGAGAGCCTCAGAGAATGAAAGTGGTGAATAGAACCTACCTTTTAAGTTATGGTTCATAAAAAGCAGTTTTCAGTTGAATTCCTCCACACCGATGATATAAGTTTTCAGAAATTTAAAAATTATTTTCAAAGAAAAAAAATACTGTTTGTGACCTATTCTTACAGAACATGTGCTGAAATAACATGCCGATAATTTGTTTTTCTACCACTAATACAAGTCAACTGATCTAACTGAACAGAAGACAAACCACCAGCCTAATGATCTCCATTTACAACTATGCCTTTGCTTTCAAACGTAATAAAGAAAGCAGAGGCCATGATTATCATATGTGCAGATAATATTTCTTCTAGCACACCACAGGTGATTTGAGTTTTCCTCCCTTTTAGGCTACAGTTAGTGTTGGCTGAAAGTGAAAGAAGGATGTACAGTTATCTAAGAAAAAAATTCCGTCGCCCTCCTGTCCTATTTCCCCTAGCTGCACGGGCAGCAAGACCAGGTAAACGACAATTAAGCAGCCCCCTAGCTAATCTGTCCCCCCCTCCAGAGGTGCGGGGCGCGGGCGGCGCGTTCCCCCGCGGCGCAGCCCTGCAGTGCGCCCGCTGGCCAGGGGCGCGCCGCCACACCCGTCGGCCGCGGCACCGCGGGGGGACGGCCGATCAGCCCCGCTACGCCATTGGCTGAACGGAGCGCCGCGACAAACGCCAATCAGGCGGGAGCTCCTAAAGTTCTACCTAGCAACAAGCCCCCACGCGGCGGGCCTCGCGCGCGGGCACGGCCGCGGGGGCGCGCGTTAAGAGAATGGGATTTTCCAAACGGCCCGATGGAAAGTTAAGGGCTTTCCGTGAGACCTGGAGCTGCGCAACAGCGCTGACCCAAGAGTGCGAGGCACACGGGTGCACAGACGTAATAAAGAAGAGGTGTTTAATGCGCAAGAGCATTTTTAGGCGGTTTTAAGATCACTAAATTCTGTGATGTTGACTGTTGGATCAAAAAAACTGCCGAGATCCAACCTGGGTTTAAGTACGGCAGCTGGAAAGCTTTCTTTTCTTCAGATGCCATGCAGCACGTGTGCTTTTCTAGTATCCCAGCAGAAAATCGGTGTTTTGAGACGAGTGCAGTATGACCTTCTGCCTTGAAAGCAGAGGCCGTTCTCCCCCACCCTTGCAAACTGCCTTCTGAAGTTCAGCAAAACACTTAAGTACACGTGTGTATCTACGCCTAAGGAAAACACCCAAATCTATGGGTTAAAGGCTTCTGAAACCAGAGTAAACTCGTGGTACAGTTTCAAACAGGTTAGTCTCGTGTACTGTATGTGATGGACAACTTCATGTAGAAACTTGAACTACATTCTTGTCACTGTGGCATTACTGTGAATTAAGCAGTTGTCTTGTGTCTCTTCTACCTCAAGAGAATACTACTGCCTTTGACATTGGCTTGTGAACCTGTTTCTCAAACCAAATTTTTTACTGTAGAGCTTTTTTCCCCATGAGGCTGCAGTGCCTTGTGGGAAAACTAGATTCCTCTTGGGGGAAAAAATTGACTGTCAGGCCCATTTACACAGCTAAGATATTTCATCTCCTGATGGTTTTGCAGAATTGTCCTTATGTGTTCATCAGGTTATGCCTTGATAACTACTACGTGTAAAACACATACTCTGGAACATGGAAGAATGGAAAACGTGGAGAGTCTTTCCTAGACAACTTTTACAAGCAACTCAAGTGCCTCAGAAACACCTATTCTTTAGCATGTGGACCTTAACCCGATTCTTCAAGGAGAGTTTTGTCTTTTTCCATAAACTAAATGTTAACAGCTATTTAGATTATTAAACTAGTAAAACTGCTTGTCTGGAACTCAGCAACAGGGCTGTGATAATGTGTTCTCTTACTTCCCACAAGTGTTAGAGACTTCAACTTTTTATCAACAAGTCAAAACATTAGCTTTCAATTCAACTGTGAGATCTCCGAACACTAAACAAGTACTGCTGTTTGAAATACCAGTAACAGCAAAATTCAGCTTTCTTATAGACTGATTTTTTTTCAGCACAAGCTTAAACACTAAGTATGTTTCTTTCCCTAGAAAAAAAAGGATTTACTGAATATCTATGAAGTTAATTAGTGCATTTAAGATACATTTGTGGAGTATTATTATACACAGTTTCAATGTTATACTGCAGTTCCAGCTTTGGCATAGGATTAACAGTCACTGTTATCCTTAAACAGGAGTAGGACCTACAAATTCCATAGAAGTGGACACTAACTGCCAGAACACATCTACAATAAAAAACTTACTCAACTTCTGATATTCCAAACATAAGACCTGAACAACTTGAATTGTTCATGCACACGAAGACCAAAAAATACAAGAAACTCTGTGAAACAAAAATCTCGAAAAAGCAAGGCAAGATGTTCTGTTCATGCTTAGGCTTTTCCAGGCATTATAAAATACAGTATTTTTTTCTTTTATAAGGAAATAATTTATAATTTATAAATTCAAAATTTATAATTTCAAGTGAAAATTCAACAGGCTACAGCTTTGAGAAGGTATCACTAACGTGTACAGATCTGCATCCTTTTGAGGCAGATTTCTTTACAAGTCTTCTGTTAGATAAAATGCAGGATTATTGTAATGAAAAAATTGATATATTTACCGCAATAGTCCGTATTTTCTAGACTAGTTCCTGTATCGCTTATACAACTAGCTGTAGCAGTGTAACCTTGGTTTTCCAACACTGGCAGCTTGGTGACATTGCAATTCAGAGGTGAGCTGCCTGATGCTGACAGTGGTCCCCTGAGGTCACTTCTCAAATGCCAGGAGAAAGAGAAGTGAGAACTCACAACAAAAAAAGGCGATGCTGTATTAAAACGTTACTTTTCGGCACGCATACAAGCGCCTTTTATGAATTTTTTTTGCACATTACATTTTCTCAGTAACAATATAAAGTTTAAAATGGAACAAAACCAGCAGTTGGGAGTTGGCTGTGGGAAGGGTTATCAGTATTTCCCCCGGGGAAGGCACCGTTCCTCAAGAGGGGGTCTGCACCTGCTGCCTCACCTGCCCCAGACCTGCCCCGCACAAGCGCAGCACCCGGGGCTGGAGGGGGCACAACATTTCATAAACTCATCCAACTGAAGCCTGATGGAGACTCTCAGATTTTGGGGAGCAGGGAAGCTATTTGCCCATTTCCCACATGAAAGGATGAGTTTTCTTTCAGTGGGTGCCTGAGAGAGGCCAGGACACCGCCCCGGCAGCCATCTTATTCCCACACCAGCTCCCTGCCCGCTGGCGGGGACTGCCGGAGATTTGCATACCCGCTCGGGATTGGCTGTGGGAGAGCTGGTGTCCATAAACCAAATCTGCCCGGCAACAGGCTAAAAATAGCCGGGGCTGCTGCCGGGAGCGGGAGCTGCTCGGCCCACACGAGGGGCCAAGACACGCACAGCCTTCCTGTCGTGGCGGTATGGGCGGGCACGGACACTGCACTTCCTCAGGGATTTTTTTTTTAATGTTTTCGTGGGGTTTTTTTAAATGCCAAAAATAATTTCTGAAGTAATTCTCTCTTCAAATCAAAACATGAACTATTATAATTTGCACATTGTCTTCTTTCTCACTTTCATTTCTAAGCAAGCAGGCACAGAAGCCATCTTTCTTACTCTGTTTAACACCCCGTGTAAGTTTGGTGAGATGGCAGTGGGGTAATCCACAACATCTGCAACAGATATCACCTAATCCTCACTACATATAGACTGTTACAGAGGCTGCTTCTTGGCTCCCGAGTTACCCTTTGGTACCTCACACCTCACCAGACACCCCCCCATACAATTCCTCCACTGAAACTAAACACGTGGGATTTCGAAAGGCGAGCATGATGAACCAAGAAAAAAAATTCCTTAAGTACATAAGGCATCTTGAGACTAAAAATTAAATGTAAAATGAGGTAAGTAAAGCACAAAATTTCAAGGTTATTATGTAAATACATGTTCTGTGATAACTCCAGCAATGATTTACATGTAGAGTATTGTAACATTGAAGCCTACAAAACAGGTATCATTTACAGAAGTTTGATTTTCAGTAGTACTGAACTGACAGCATAAACTCTTCTGACTGCAGCAGAAGCAAGTAAAGAGATTTCCACACTTTTCACCACATCCACTCCCAGGTTTCTGTTTCATAGAACTGTGTTAAAGGCAGGTGAAAGCCAACACTGTAAGATGAATGGAGCACCCAGTGCACACAGGATGTGTACAGCCACCTAATACAGGTCTCCAGCATCCTGGAAAGGGCCATCTTAAGTGTAAGCTGTATATAAGCACCTTTGGTATGAAGAAATGCATCTTCTACAAGGCTGCCAGAATTGACTGAGAAGGAAGAAAAGTGGCCAAAGAAGATGGTCAGTGACCACTGATGAGCCTTGATATCTTTTGAATGACTCAAGAAAAAAAAAATCACAAAAATTAACCAGAAATCCTAACGGGAAAGTTAAAGTGAAGTAAAACAAATATTTGTATATAATAAAGCTTCAAAATAAAATTAGAAAACAGCCCTAAACCACCACCAAACAAACCAAAACCCACAAAAGAGTTTCTTCTAAAAGCTAGTTTACCCAAACTTTATTACCTGTACCTAGTGTTAGGACTATTTGTCACACGTATTCTTTATGGAAAGGTAGCTTACTCCATAGATGTTGGCTTGCTACCTAACAAATTTTACTAGCAACTCTGCCATGTACCACAAGACATTTATTCATTAATCAGAGCCTAAATATCTTCCAAAAGCAACGAATGGTGTGGAATAATGGGAACTGAAAAAAACCCTGCCAACCTAATATTCTATTCATTACTACATAGAAAAAAATCAAAAAAAAAATCAAAAAGCATGTTTTCAGTGCTGGTAAATCACTGCATTAATATGCTAAGGATCCTAGACAGTGAAGGTAATCCATGTTTTTACAATGATAAGCAGTCACTCTCTAATAAAATTCCACGGCAGTCAATTTCTTACTATATCAAGCATTCAATAATAGAGTAAGATTTATTTACCCTAGTAGAAGGGTACAGTGACAGATCAAATTCTCTTGAGTCACTGGGTGGACAACTATTTTTCTGTATTTGCTGCTAGGCAAAGATTTGTCACATCTCAAACTTGTAAGAAAAATTACTCATAGTGTCACCCAAATTGCAATTGAAACGTTTCATAGTCAAACACTAAGCAACTATAGCAGAGATGACTCTTCAACTTATTCATGATTAGAACAAGCTCTGCAGACACAGATATCCAGACTTAAGTCTTTGCTAAGCTGCCTAAGGAACAGGAAGCAGAAAGTGCACAAACCCAAGATGCTTTCTTTATAGAGTTCTAATCATGGAAATAAGTGAATAGAACTAGTAGGAATAAATTTTGAAATTATGTTACACTAGTTTAAGTGGCAAAGTTTTACTGATCTGCATCAGCAACACCTT